GCAGTTGTGAGGAACGTGTTGGCTGTCCGAGGCCGCGGCTCTGCCGTGTGGGTGAGTGGCAGAGCCTCGTGCCATCGCCACTCCCCGCGTGCTCGCCTTGCCGGCGCGCGGTCTCCGAGTTTCCGTCGATCATTGTATTCCAAGGGTGGCTATACTACCTGAGATTTGTGCATGTTACATTGTAGTTGTAACCTTTTCTAATTCGGCAAGAATAAGAGATGGTTGTGATTGTGCAGTGTATCAATAAAGTTTGACGAACTTTGTACCCTCGGGGCATTGCTTCACGGAGCGCATGGGGAGCGGGGCTCCTGTGCACCGTGCTCCATGGCAGCTGCATTCAGCTCCTGGCTGCCCTTGCACTGGCACTGCTTCCAGCCCCACGGCTTGTCTGGTTCCCAACCAGGCTCCTTGCTCTGTGCCTCGCTGCTATTTGACTCTTCCCTCATCCCTATCCCCATGTCTGTCCTCTGCTGATGGGTCGTGCAGCACAGACAAGCACATACCTATTTAAGAAGCCCTGCAGGGGAAGGACCGGCTTTGCTCTGTTCACTCGCCTACCTTCAGCAGAAGCACCACTGGATTCTTCCTTTTGGTGGCTGTGTCGTCTCGTGTCATCGTCTCTTAACAACGTTTGCTCCAAAAAACCTACTTCTGTGCAAGGAATGCCACTGCAGAGGAAATGCTCCTAACAGTGCTTTGCGCCTATCAAGACGTGACTCCATGAGACACACACAGTATGCCTTCATCAACGGACGAAGACTATGGGAAGGGACCTGTGCCTCTTGGGACCATTTTCCCATCCCACTGATGGATGCTCTTCAGTGAGGGGCCCTGTTTTCCTGCAGAAACCCCAAAGCTGATATCTCAGAGCTGTGGTAGAGGGTAGGAAGGCTGCTGGGAGCACAAGAGCAGCAAGATGCTCTGGGGCAATGCCTGACCCATAAGGGGATTGATTGCTTACTCTCCACCTCCCTTTGCCTTTCCTGACATGAAGCTGGAAAGCAGTGTCCTCAGAGCGTATTGCTGAGCCCTGCAGCCAGCTGCTCCTCATGGTGACAGCCTCCCACAGCCTGCAACCGCCTGAGCATATGGCTCTGTCAGGGACACCTTGGCTGTGTGCACTGGAAATAAAGGTAAGTGCTTCCCTAAACACACTGGGAGAGGGGTCTGGGATGGGAGGACCACACCTGCCCCAGCACATCCAAATGGATTGGGGCTAGGGCAGCACCAAGACTCCAAACAGCTCACCTCGATCGTGGCCATGGAGGTGGAAATCACCAGGCTGGGCCATCCCTCTTGTCTGTGCACATGTCTACGGGTGATACAATGGTGACACTGTCCCTTTGCTCTCCGTCCACCTACCAGCAGCCTTTTACATGCCTCTTAGGGAAAAACAACAGCTGCACGTACAACCTGCAAAACTAAATCAGGTTGTAGCCATCCCCCATGCAAAACTCTTGGACTTCTTGGTGTGGTTGGTAAAAGGATGACAAGCACCAGTCATTGGGATGCAGTGTTAAGAAGGAAGAGCCATCCAGAAGGGAACGAGCCCTTCCTCATCCCCTTTTTTGGACACTTTTGGTCTCTCCTGAGTGCAATTTTGCTGTGTCACAACCAAGAAGAACAATGAGAGACAGCCTGACACGCTCACTTCTCTGCTGTGGCCCCAGACCAGAGGGCTTCCCTTCGTGCTCCGCCTCATCACTTCCTGCAAGGCAAGAATCACAGCTAACACACTGGGAAACCTGTGGCACAAGCAATAAACCCTGTCCTGAACAACACAAGCACAAGTGGGCTCCTTTCACAACATACAAGAAAGCATCACTAACACCTGGAACACAGCTACATCCAGAGGGAGCGAGGGCATCTTTCAGGCCATGACATTCATCTACCTTCACTGAGAGACACAAATAAATATGTATCTAAATAAATACAAAAACACACCCATAAACCAGCATCTCTCTGTCTCTCTCTCCAACTAATTCTGCAATGCTCAAACCCTGGCACTGTGCCCTCTGACCTCCTGCCTACAGCACTGAAAATGTCAGAATTTCAAAAATAAAGGGAGGAGCCCCATTAACCCCAGATGCATCCTTTGAGGTGGGCAGGGTTCCTCCCTTGCCTGCCAGGCTTGCCTTGCCACAGCCAACTTTCTTTTCCTGAAAGCCAACAGCCATGCACTGCTCCATCTCCTCCCCCAGGAGAAGCACAGACACACATCTGTGGCCGTGGCACAACAAATGTGGCCACAGCAGTTCCTACAAAGCCATCACCGTGGCTCTAGCACTGTGGTTGGCACTGATCCCCTCTTTCTCTGCCATCCTGACTCCAGGATGCAGAAAGCTGCATGCATCCAGCCAGCCTGCCCTGGAACAGCAATTAAATGCCACGAGCCCATGGGGAAATGCATGGTAGTGGGATGCCTTTGCAACCCTGCCAACAGGGTAACTTCGGGATAAAGCCCACGTACTGGGGGCCCCTCCATTCCCACAGGGACAGTATTTGCCACCAAGGGAAAAGACACAAGCAACCCTGGGGCTCACGGCAAGTCCCTTTGGACATTTTCCCCTTTTTCCAAACAGGGCCTTGCATCCACTGCACTGTCAGTGATGGGGCACTGGTGCCCACAGTGACAGCAAGGGACCCTCGCTTAGGGCAGGGTTCCCTGAAGGATGGGAACAGCAGAACATTTTGCAAATGCTGCTGGCTGCAATCAGCCCAAAGGTGCATTGGGCACTGTGCACACAGGGGTGGGGGTCTCTGTTCCCTACCTTTTCTCCCCGTCCTCGAGGGATGCTCCAACCTCAGGTCCCCACATGCTGCCCGGGGCTGGGAGATGCTGCGCCGTCATTTCACAACACCTCGCTATCCTCTCTGCTCTCTCTCTCCCTTCTCCCTGCCTACTTCTCGGGCTGCACAAACTCAGAGGAGGAAAAAAAAAATAAAATATTAAAAGCCCTGCAATCGTTACAGACCAGCTCTGATCCTCACACAACACGCCATGTGCCAGGTGGAGCTCACGCGCCTTGAGAAGCCGGTGGCCACAGTGAAAGCTGAAGACTCGATGCGCCAAAAGACCCTCCTGAAAATCAACAACACCCCTCCACGCACCAACAGAGACCAACGCCAGCGCACCAACAGCAAGGTTTCACCAACACCCAGAAACTCACTTGTGACCTGCGCGGCCTCACCGCATCACCTCCAACACCAGTCAGCTCACCCCGGCCCTCCATGTACTCACCGAAGCCTCACCTTGTGCCTCATCACATCTGGGCTCGGCGCTCACCTCCACCTGCTGCTCCATCCATTTCCTCATCACTGCTCCCTCCCTCCCTCCATCCCAGCACCCCTCCCCATCGCCCAGCGGCCGCGGCGGGGGCAATGAGCACCACAAGCAGACGGAGCGGCCACATGGAACAATCGTTTTAATGGATAGAGGCAGAGAGAGCCCCCTCGCCGCCCGCCCGCCGTGCCCCCGCCTCGCTGTCGGCCGCGGAGAAGGAAGGGAAACCAAAGGAGGAAAAGAAACTGCAGGAGAGACCCCCACCAGTGAAAAATAAAGCGAGTCGTTGAGGTGCCCACCCTCCCCCCTCAAATTTCAGCCGGTGGCTCAGCGGCGGGTGCCGATTGCTTCGCCTTCTTTTTTTTTATATATATATATATATATATATACACACACACGCACGCACACCCACACACATATACATATATATATATATAAAAATGAAACTGAGCTATATAGATCTATATCTACGTCCATCCCTCGGTTCGCTTTATTCCACCACCAAGGGTGCGCAGCACAGGGTGACGGAGAGGGACCCCATGCAGCACCCGTGTCCCCTTGTCCCCAGACACCCGAGGGTGGAAAGGTGATGGGACCTGGGCACGTGCGGAGCGAGAACCTCTCCTCATCTCACGGAGGACCAATACACACCTAACTCCATATACAGCATGCAGTAATGGCAGCGGAAGGACCCTGCTGGGAACTGTGGCTGGAACGCTAACAAAAAAAAAAAATATATATATATATATATATATGTATATTTATATATACTGTATATATATATCCCATAAAAAGATTCAGCGTCTCCCTTCGCCTCGATGCACGGAGGAACTGTTTGTATGGCCGTGGTCCAGGCCGGGTGAGGGGTCTCAGCACAGGGCTCCTGCTCCTCGCCCAGGGACAAGCCAGCACCATCCTCCTCGGAAACACACTTCTCTCCGCTTGCTCTCTCGTTCCTGGTTTTCATTCTTTCTTTCTTTCTTTCCTTTTTTTTTTTTTGTTTTTTTTTTTGCATCTTGGTTTTTTAGGAACTAAGAGTTCTAGGCTCGTATCAGAAAATATAATTAATAAAATGAACCCTTATCATTCACGATGTCCGCGTGGCGTACGATGAACTCGGCGCTGCTCTCCTTCCTCCCTTTCCGTTCGTGGCGGTGTGGTGTAACTGTTGAAGATCTATATATCTATACATATATATATATATGTATATGTGGATATATATATATATATTTCGGAACACAAATGGCGGCACAGTCCATGAGAAGACGGGGGGAAATCTCGGCGAAGAAAAAAACCTGCGCATACGGACGGAGGGGCTCCGGTGAGCGGGGATGGTGGGGGGACCAGGGCTGCCCCATCCCCACACTGACCCACAGCAGAGAACGACGAAACGGGGCAGAAAAAGGGGCAGGCGAAAAAATAACCAGAGGAAAGAAAAAGACTCAGTCGCGTTGCGTCTTCAGCAGGAAGCCTTGGATAATTTTTTTTTTTTTTTTCCTCCCTCCTTTCCAAATTCCCTTTGAATTATTATTATCATTATTATTATTATTAATAATTTTTTTTTTTTTTTTTTTTTTTTTTGCGTGTTTTTCCTCTCTCCCCCTCCCCCAGAAGGCCTGGCCGGACAACTCTCTCAATTCTTATGATTATTTTCAGAAACAGTGAATACATCTTCTTCCTCTCCTTTCTGCTGTGGTGGTCGTGGCCGCCTCGGGGCTCAGAACTGGCGGGCGAGCTGGGCGAGCGGCAGGGCCAGCAGCCAGGCACAGCTGCCTCGCCGCCACGCACCGCTGTTGCCATCGTGCACTGCACCAGGGCCTGCGGGGGGAGAAACACCCGCACTGTTAGCTGGAGGGAATGGAGGGGGGAAGAAAACAACGCTGCTTTGGGCCCCGGTGCTATTACAAACACTGGGGTCGCCGCCGAGAGCTGCATGGTGCAGCCATTCCCATCCTTGGGTTTGGGACATGAACCCCACCACGGTCCTGTGCTGGTTCCCATTTCCCATCCCCAGCCTATCACCTTGGATGCAAAACCACAAAGCAACCTCCTCCAGCTCCTCCAAATGTTCTGTGAACTTGGAGGCGATAGCTTTCACCCAACCAAAAGTACCACCAAGGAATTGGACTTCATCCTCCGACCCAGGATATCATATAACACGGTAATTCTGTAAGTCTATGACTCCAAGATGACTCTATGATTCTGTAAAAATCACCCAGGAGATGGATGATGAGGCACTGGCAGAGGATGCCTAGAGAAGCAGTGGGTGCATCATGCCTTGAGGTGCCCAAGGCCATGGATGGGGACGTGGGCAGTCTGAGCTGGTAGGAGGCAACCAGCCCACGGTGGAGGTTGGTCCCTTCCAAGCCAAACCATTCAATGATTCCATGTGCACCACTGCACCCCGCTCCTGTTGGCACCCAGCCTCCCCAGAGCCACCTTGTGTCCCTCTGCAGGAAGGATGAAGCGGGTTGTAAGGAACAGAGATCCCCATGCTTAGGCAGACAGGTGAGGATCTCAAAATATGCCACGGAGAAGGGCTCCCAAGTTGGTGTTTTTTGGCAGAAACACCCCAAACTGTCCTGCCCAAGTGGGACCATGTGGGAGGATCAGATCAGTTCTCACTTTTGCAATCCCGAGAGATGTCCCCTCACTCAGGGCACTGAGGACCACTCTCCATCAGGTCTCCCTTTTGCAGCATACTCTAGCACCCCTACAGACACCACTACCCACAAAACCTCAAATCATGGTGGGACTAACAAGCTGGGCAATGGGCAGCTCTGGAACCAAGAGCAGCTTCGTGCTGCCTCCAACTCTTCCCAATATCTTGAGATCATCCCACTGCCAGCCACAAAGTGCACTACGAATGGAGCCACGTGGCTGCAGAGCCCCAGATCAGGATGGTGGTGGTCCCCAGGGCAAGCGATCGATCGATCGGTAAGAGCAGCAACGCAAGGAAGAGCACCCCTACCACATCCCGAGGCAAAAAAAAGGCACTAAAGCAACACTAAAAGCATCCTAGAGGAAGAAGGACTGGCTGCAGCACCACTGGGCAACAGGACCACGAAACCATCCCTGCCTGCATCCTGGAGACGGGGGGAAGAGAGCAGTGGAGGGGACAGTGGGGATGTGGCATGCAGAGGTGGGAGGTGGGCATGTTAAAGACCCAAACAGAAATGCAGCTAAACGCATGTGGCTACAGTTAAGCAGCAATGGGGAAGCCACGAGCAGCCCCAAAGTTATCACTGCAAGAGCTGGAGCAATGGGGTTTAGGGGAGCTGCTCCCTGGATATTGCTGGAGGGACCCACAGGGACACGGAGCAGGGGGATTGCTGGCATTGCAGGCTCATCATTACTGACCTTTCCAGGGTGTCAGAGCGGTTGTTGTCTCTTCTAAAAATCAAAGAACAAGTCAAGGTTAAGGCACAGAGGCAATGGCAGGCTCAAGGTGCTTTGCTCAGCCTGCTCTTGGCATGGGAAAATGCATGGTCATGATTGCTATAGGGCCTCTGTCCTCCATCCATGTGGAGCTTCCTGGGTGATTTTATTGCAAACCCTCTGGGAATCCGCATGGATTGCACAAAAGGGGAGCTGTAGAGAGCTCTGTTCCTTTTTTTTTTTTTTCTGACTCAAGAAAATTATTTGATTCCAGAGCACTTCATCACATTAAAGACAGCATCAAATGAGCCGCTGAATTAGGTGGAAGGCCTGTAATAAGAATTGCTACGTGTTAGATAAAGCACCAGTTGACCTCCCTGAAAAAAAAGATTAAGGAAAGGATTACAAGATGTATTCTGCACTATCCTCAGTTGCAAGGCACTGGAAACGTCAATGTGCTGACGTGGATTAAAGCTCCATTTGGGGGAGGAGAACCCTGAATAGTTCACTCAGCCTCAAGGAAGAGGGGATGCACACAGAACTGTCCCCCAAAACCACACAGATTGGACATTTCTCCTGCAACAGGTAGCACAGCACTTCACTGTGAACTGTAAGGGGATTTGGCTCCCAGCTGGGCTGCACACAAGGTGATGGGGCCACGTTCCCATTATGGCATGAGCCATTCCAAGTGCCTTTAATGGAAGAAAATCCAGTAACTGGCAGCTCTCATTAAACCACCAGCAGAGAGAGTCCTTAACTCGGAGGCTTCTTGTCCAGCCTGCACTGTGCAACCCTTGAATGGGGTCCCAGGATTATGTGAGATTTTCATCCCATAAGCCAATACAGAGATTACAATCACACAAGTAGCCCAGGCCACATGGGACACTCGGTCCCCAGGGCAGGACAGCATGGACAGAGCCATGTGGCCCTGAGGTGTCCTGTCCCTCTCCCTGAAAAATGGAGTCATTGGTGACCAAAATTACTGGAAAGCCCGATGGGGAAGAAGCTGAGATCGTTTCTAAGCAACCCTAATGAAGGCTTAACAGCCAGGTAACAACTAATGTCTGTCACTTACAGCACCAACTTTTTCCTGCAGAAGTGACTGTGATGCTCATTAACACCCAAGGTTGGAGCGACCTGGGAGCTGTGGGCACAGCCCTGAGCACTGTGAGGGAAAGAGATCTGTGGGGAAACCCAGTGCAACAGCTGGTACCCACGGAAGATGAGGATGCAAGCAGCACACAGGTGCTCACTGAGCCCAACATGTATAAAGGAGCAGACATGTGCCTTCTGCACAGATACGGGGGGACAGCAGGAAAGAGAGACCACATTTCCAGAGATGTCTTCCCAACTGCCCTGCTGGCACAAGGTGCTAATTGCTATCTTGTTTTCCTTTTCTTAATCACTGCACACCTACAATCATTGCACACCTACAAAAGCAGTGTCTTGCTCTACCACAACCCTGCCTTTCCTGCAGAAAAGGGGTCTCTTGTAACCTCTCTAGGCTTAATTAAATAACTCACACATTCTAGGAAAGGGTTTGCAATGCCAGGAGCAAGTTGGTGCTTTCCATTAAACCCTCTTCGCAGTGATTAATTCCATCCTGTGGTTTGTTTAACAAGGGCTGCTATTAATGTCATCCATGAACACTGCTGCCCACGGGCAGGAATGTCACACCGTGCCTCCCCTGGGTTTCCCCCTCGGTGTCCCCAGCACAAGGAGACGTAGAAGAGGTGGACAACGATGCACTTTGCACACAGTTGTTGCAAATCCAAAGTGGGCCCAGAACTGAGGGAGGGTCATCATGAGGAATGATGCTGGGAGAGAATGGAGGTCCCCAAGCCCTGCTTCTCCTTGGCATCTGCCAGAGCAAGGCAATGGACACCTGCAGCTAGACCCTTGCTTTGCACTGATGCCCAAACACAGCAACAATGCCCAACACCTCTAAGCAGTGCCCAGTCAGGAGGGTGGTTTGTAGGTTTTGATGCTTCCCCTGTGCTCACCCACACTCTGTGTTAGAAAGGATGAGTAGGAACATGCATCACTCCAGATTGCACACTGGTGGTCGCTCCGTTAAGCTGTGCCTGGTCCCCATTCCAGCCCCTCAGTGCTGCTCACCATAAAGGATCATGCTGGCGTTGGTGTTTCCTAGCTGGTTGGAGGCCACGCAGGTGTAGTTGCCGTAGTCCTGCTCAGAGACGTTGAAGAAAGTCAGTCGGGAGAAGAAGGCTTTGTTTTCCACCTTCAGCCCTTTCTGTCCTTCAGCCAGCCTGGGAGGAGAGCAGAAGGGGTGATGGAGATGGCACCAAGAAAGAAGCATCCCCTATGATTTAGGATGAGAAGTACTGCCCTTAAGTTGCATCACGGTGGATATTAGGAACTATTTCTTCTCTGACAGAGTGATGCTGCACTGCCCAGCTGCCCGGGGATGGGGTCACTGTCCCTAGGGGTGTTCCAGAGCAGTGGGGATGTGGCACTGAGGGATGTAGGCAGTGGGCACGGTGGGATGGGGTTGGGACTGGTGATCTCAAGAGATCTTTTTCAACCTGAACGATTCTATGATTCTACGGTTCTCTGAATCCCAACCTATAGATGTTGGAAGGTCCTGGATCTACGTTGGCTTTGCTCTGCTGGTTTTTGGCCATGACAGCAAAGCATGAAGGGTGAGGGGGGGAAGGGTCAGCTCCCACCCCCATGGGGCACCCCAGGCTCTTACCGCTTGTCGTCTTTGTACCACTGGAAGTCAGCGGAGGGGACGGCGGAGGCTTCACACATCAGGATGCCCTTCTGCCCCACCGGCACACCGGTGCTCTTCGCATCTGAGATGTACGGCGGGTCTGTGGGGAGGACGGAGCTGGGGGTTGGTGCCTCCCACCTCTCTCTCCTTTTCTTTCCCCATCTCATGGAAGGAGAAAAATCATCTCCGAGCTTATGCCCAGCTCCTGCAACTCTCGTTCTGCTGTCCAAAAGGGTTGGGCAGATAGGGGACCCAAACCACATCCCTGCATCCTCCAAGGACCAGCGCTCCCTGATGCCCAAAAGCTCCAGGGGTGACCAGAGTGGAGTCTGGGGAGCTTGGAGGGTCTTCACTTCTGTCTACAAGCACAAACAGTGCTGCTTTCTTCCTCTCTCTCTCCCTTTTTTCAAAACGAAGAAATGCCTATTTACTGCTCACTTCTCTCCTCTCCCCTGAGGTTATCAGCACAGCATCTCACCACAGGCAGAAAACTCAGGTTGATGGAGACAGCTGAGGAAGAGGTGGAAAAAAACGAAGCTGGAAAAAAAAAAACAAAAAGGGGGGGGGGAATAAAAGGGCAGAGCACCACCTGCTTGGAAAACTGCTGCTGCCAGGCTGGGCGGTGGGACCAAAGGCAGGTGAATGCTGCATCTCCTCGGGGTGGGACAAAGTACCCCTGGGCTGTCCCTGCACCCCACAACTACTCACAGTTGACGGTGACTTTGACTCTCTGGACGACAGGCGCAGCCACGTCGTTGGAGGCACTGCACTCGTACTCGCCCGACTGCTCCCGCGTGATGCCTGTGATCTCCAGGTACTCATCCTCACTGATGAAGCCCACGGCTGTTGGGTGGAGGGAGTGGGCTGTGAGCGAGGGGGGCACGGTGAGCCCATGCCCAACCTGTGGTAACCAGCTGGGACCATGCTGTCACCATGGGCCACCATGCTGTCCCACCCATCTACTACAAGAAACCCCTGCTAGACCGGTGCCAGATGCACTGGTCCCAGCCCTTCCGGCAGCATCACTTGCTGCATATTAGTGTCCCCAGTGTGTGCAGGATGGGCATGGGGTTTTCATCCCATCCCATCCCATCTTCCCACCCCGAGGTGCTGCTGGATTCCCCCTGAAGCCTCCCTCGGATCTTTCAGCTTCACTGAATCGCAGCCAGCTTGCTCCTACACCATCAGTACCAACACTGCCCTTCAGCTGCAGGGCTCTATCCCTCTCCCCGTGCCATTCTATGCTCAAAACCATCCAGCTCCTCCAGCGTGGAGACCTTACAACAGACACGAGTTACACAGCAATTAGGATGCTCCAGAGAAGCATCTTTCACCCAGGAACCACTAGACCCAGATAGAGAGGTGGCATCTTCCTCCCTTCCCTGACACTTCCCCATTGCCTTTCTCAGCTCTCCTGCAGCTCAGACACGATAATTACAGCACGAAGCATCTCCACGACCAGTGTCACACTTAATATTCCTATAAATTTTAAACGGTAGTCCTTGGTACATATGTGTGGCAATTGGTATCATATTTTAATTAAGCTTGCCCTACACCATCTGAAATTAATAATAGCTCGAATTACCAGTGTAATTTATAAATTAACATTGCTGCAGCATTAGGAAATAAATTAGCTCTGGACAGCTGTTTCCAGGAGTGAGTGCCAAAGGCAGAGAGGCCAAGCACAGGTCCCTGCTCCCGAGGGACGTGGTGATGTGACCAGCACAGCCCGGTGTGCACTGCTGTGACCCAAAATGCTGTGGCTTGACATGCTTGGGCGGCCAGCCGGGCGCATCTTGCTCTTAACATGTGCATGAAAACTGTATACAATGAATGTTGCCTGCGTGGCACGATACCTTTAGAGCAGCTCTTCCCACTGGTCCAAAACAGTGAGCACAGTCACACACTGCCCATACAGACTGCTTTGAATGCAGCTGCTTTGAGCGCGTGCATAAATGCAGATCTGTGTATAGGGCCCGAGCCTGATGTGTTTTCTTGAATGCCACATCCTGCAGCGAGCACCCTGGATACCCACTGAGATGCTGATGCCCAAGCTGCAGTTGCAGCATCATCGGCACAAACCCCAGCCCCGCACTGTGCCCACCCTCATCCCACGGATCCCATCCAGGGCTGAGGTGAGTCCTCTCATGCACACAGCCCTGATGGATGGCTGCCATCCACCTGCAGCATCCTCAGCCCTGTGCCCGAGCTCCCAGCGGAGCGGCTGGCAGTGAAAAACCGCTGAGCTCATCAGCACTTAGCGCAGCAGAAGGGCGAGATATGAAGGCGTTACCCCAAAATCGATATCCTTTGGAGACACAAAAATTACAGTTTTATATCCAGCAGCAGTTTGCGCAGCAAAAAGGAGAGAGGGAAGGAAACAAGCTGCCTGTTCCAGCTGACCTAGAATCAGCTCTCAGTAGCACAGCGCTGCCTGCCGATGGAATTATGACACAGCTGCAGCCCTCGGATGCTCTGTGTGCAGACCTGACTCCTGTTTGTGCAAAGAGCCCAATAAAGCTCTGCTTCCACACTCAGCAAAGGCCCTTCCCCAAATTATCACTCGCCAGCACTGCACTGTTGAGGTTTGATCCTGGAGCAAGGCAGCGAGGGCGCGTTTCATCACCCAGCAAAGGACTTTGTGAAGTGACGGCCAGGGTCAGCCTGCCACCTGCAAAAGCTGGGGAAGGGAGAGATGAAGGCTCCCAGCCTTTGTGCCGGAGTAGTGCAGGAGTCTGACATCAGTCAGTGCCTGGTAATCGGCTTTCAGAGGGACAAAATGCAAAGTTTTGGGGTCTGGATTTGTGCCATCAGCCCTGACATGCAGAGCCTGCAAAGGTACCACCATGCAATGCTCTGCGTACTATTGCTGGGATGACACTAAGATGAAGACTACTGCTGCTAGGGTCCCTGTATGGATCCAGCCTTGTTAGTGCAGCAATCCCACACCAAGGTCAATGGGAGAGGAGGGTCCCCTGTACAAAGTACTTCCCCCTTTCTCCCTTACCTGCTTTACTTTCAACATACACGCAGAGGCCAGCTTAAGTGGCTACGTACACACAGGTACTGAAGTGGTCTGGACACGAGATGCCCTATTGCACCTTTGCAGCAATGACAGATTTCTGCCAGTCTGTACCCGGATGGAGGCACCTGCTGAGCCGTGCCCCATCTCCTTTCACTGCCTTCCTGCCAGAGCGCTTAACAAACAGGGTGCTCTCCACTTCTTGGGTTTTATATTGAGAGCTGCTTCTGATGGGGAAGTGGCAGTAAATAAAGAGCGAAGCCATGCGGCTTGTTATGTGCTGCTCCAGCTGAGAGCACTGGAAATGAATGGGCTCAAAAATCAGCGTGGTATGTGAGGAAACAACAGCTCTGGCTCACGTCCCCTCCTGCACAAAGGACCTGGCAGGAAAATCAGCTCCATGCACGCACTGCTGCCCCATGGTTGTTGGGGTCCTCAGTGGCTGGTGATGCTGATGTTTGGGGAAGCTGAGCTCCTGAGGCTTAGGATCAGGGCACCACCAGCCCAGCCCAGATTCTGGATGGGAGCCATCCCTCTGACTGGTCTCACGTATATCAGACTTCTTAGGGTTGCTCTGCAGGTCTCCAATGGTGCAGACTCCTCCTGCCTCTGCAACTGCTTGGAGCTCAGCAGCCCTAAGCCAGCAGCAGCTCTGCAATGCCCGGAGTGACTTCGGGAACTTCTCAGGGCTGCCTCTGCTCGAGCACAATTAGCTGCTGAAATATTGCAGGAATTAATGGCACAGCGCTCTCATCTCCTCAGGAGCTACAAAACCAGCAGAGCCAGCACCCATTATTATTATTAACAATAATAATACAATCCAGGCCAGAAATGGAACAGCCATTGACTGTTCAAAGGCACAGCACCTCACTCCTCTGCAGAGGGTGATGACCTAACCTGGTGCAAACGGGGGCACGGGGAGCAGCACCGGCAGGGCCAAGGGGCACCGCAAAGCAGAGCAGAGCAGAGCTTGGCCACCCCTGGGACAGGGGTGCTGGTTGGACCATGGAGGTGAAATCCTGCTCCAAGAGACATCCAAGCAGTGCCTGGGGTCCTGCACAGAGAGGATGAGATGACGTGGGGAGATCGGGGGCCTCATCTATTCCTTCCTTGCCTTTCTCATTCTCCTGCTTCCCCTTTGCTAGGCCTGACTGGGCTCCCCTCTGCCTCCTCCCACCTGTTAGGACCTCACCCAGGACTCTCACCTTCCACTGAGCCTCTGACAAGATAATAACTCACCAGAAAGCAAACACATGTTCCCAAATTAATTATGTGCTGCCGTCCCCCAGCTCACAGCATTGGGGTCTCTGGGCCACGTCGCTTCCCGTTACCCTGGCTGAGCACTGCTGCAATGCCAGCATCAGAGCGAGGCAATGCCAGCCCTGCAGCAAGCTCTCCTGTTTCTGTGCACCTCTTTGCTCCCGTGCATCACGCCAGCTCCTTGCCTTTCCCCTGCACTAATCAGGGCACAGCACACGACACCCAGCAAGCTCCCAATGCTGCAACGTGCCCACACCACATCCATGTGCCTTGCTCTGCAGACCTGCCATATTCCTACCTCTGTGGATCTCAGCAATGGCCCCGCTATGGGTTTGGGCTCCCCATGGTTGCCCAGATTTCCAGTGCTGCTCCTGAGTCATTGGCCATGCACCGATCGGGCTAGCCTGAGAATGGGAATATTTTATGGAGATAATTTTATTAAAATGTTTACAACAATGCAGATATTGACATCTAGCTTCAATCAATAGCACAATTTATTGTCCTTCAAGGTGAACATTAAGCCAAGCTGCCCATTAGTCAATATTTACCTCCAAGGTCTATAAATCTTTATACTGGCTTCAGCAGATGTTGACAGTGGCCGATTCCAGATAAGTAAAAGTAAGAGTGTGAAACATTGCTCCTTTTGGAGGTGAAATAGTAACTAGTTAATTACAGCCCCTACAGCAATTCTGAGCTATCAATTTATGGCTACTTCTGGCAATAAAAATTAACATCGTGCAGACTCCCGGCTCACAGTGACGCTCTTAAAACCAAGAGCCATCTATTTCACATGTCACGCCGACACGGCGGTGATGGCCTTCTTATAACAGTTTATAGTAAATAAATAAAATATACAAAGGTAATAAGAGGGAATTGCCAGCATCCGAGAGCTGACTCCCCCCCCTTCTCCTCCAGTATGGAAACACGGTGTGGGTGAGTTAGCAGCAAAGCAATGCTCCTCTGTACAGGGAAGGAGGAGGAGGAAGACAAAGGAACCCCCTAAATACCACCATGCCCCAAACCTGACTGCAGAGTGACACAGCCCTGTGCCCCTGGATGAAGAAGAACAAAAGCTGACCGCATCCCATGCCCTTGGCCAAAGGTTGAAGAGGCTCCTGCTGCCCCTTTTATTGTTCAGCATCTCCCCACTACTACTGACTGCTCATTTAGCACATCACGAACCAAGTTCAGGCACTGCAAGATGTTCCCTTGTTCTTTTGCTTGGCCGATGGCACCGTGACAGCAGCATCACCTCCACTCACCCCAAGCTCTGACTCGCCATGCTCCAGTGGAGGAAGACGTGGGGTAATTAACCTTCTGGAAACCATCCAAAGCAATCATTAAAAGATGATTTCTTCAAGATTACCCTATCGACCCAGGAGGGCACAGCTCTGTCCTTCCTTCCAAGCACACTGCATCCCAATGCCACGGGCTCCATCTGCAGCCCCTTGGAGGGGTGACCCTGTTACAAAGCTTGGGGTGGGGACAACCATAAACCATCACCCCGCTCTTCTTCACCCTTCAGAAGCTTTTTCAAGTTTCCTGACAACAAGGAAAGAAC